AAGAAGAGTGGAAGCAGGGGCATCTTCGTATTGGCCTAGGGGACAGGCCGCCGAGGGGATCTTGCTGTGTGGTGGGTGGCGCTTTTCCTAGTTCAGGGAAACAAAAACCTGGGGCGCTTGAGGATCCAGGTTGTCCTTTTGTGCCACTTTGCCTCTGGCTGGTGCTCTTAGCAACAGGTTGTCAAGGAATGGCTAGAGCTGACCCCTTCCTTCCTGCCTGCCGCTACCAAGACCAGGAACACATCTGCAGTTACCCTGTGGTCCGTGGCCAGGCCAGAGAGTGACGACCTGTACTGGACGTGCTGGGATCCAGAGGGGGAAATGGAGAGCACTCGGTGAGACTTATGGATGGAGATGGACGAATGGGGTGCCGGTTGACAACAGACCATCTCCTTTGTTGATAGCTGCCAGGGGGGGCTTTAATGTTTCTGTCTTGAACCTCAGCATCCTCGGGATCTCATTAAGCAGAGACATCCGGGAGGAGAACTGAGGAGATCCCGGGCACATTCTCTCTGGACAATCTCCAGAACCCACTTGTTGTAGGGGGTTTGAGGCCAACACTCTGCAAGCTGGAGGAGACTCTGGGTGTCAGGGAGGACCAGACAGTCAAGTGGATGTGTTACCCCCTGGAGCGGCCACCTCTGGTTCTAGACCACCTTCACCTGGAGCAGCTGGAATCGTTTCGTCTGCTAAACTGCTGGTTTGGAAGCTTAACAAGACTGCTTGGGTTTGGAACAGGAACTTTTATTCCCCACTGTGGGGCTGGGCAGGACCCAGAGTCATTTTTTCTTTATCTAAGGAGTCAGACACCACCTCATCCATCGATTCCCCATCTAATTTCCCTCCTGAATGCTAACCGATGCCAAAGTCACTTAGTCTGGACATCTGCCTTACATATGAGGCAGTTACATACGCCAATAGGTAGCAGCACTGAAGCCCAGCACTATTGCTGAGTGCCTGAGGACGTCCAAAGAAGAGTCCGAACTGAAGACAGCCCCGGACCCAGGCGTTTTCTGCCTCCGAGGGGGACAGAGTCAGACAGACCATCCATCCAGGCCCATTCTGCTGTCTGAGCGTGTGGATTCAGTGGACGGTCTCGGAGACATGCAGGCGTCTCAAAGTGTGTCCCGAGTGGGATGTCCATGCTCAGGTCTGTGGGATTCCCAGGACTTGAGTCTCCCTCTGTAGGCATTGGCATGTCCTTAGCTAGAGATGTCAGTGCAGCACTGACCTTAGGAAGGAAAACAAAATCTGATTTAGACTGGATTAATTATAAGGTTTCTTAGTCACCTTGTTCCGTCTCTTAGGTTTTCGTGAGAACTCCCCTTCCTGCTTGGAGAAAGTAAATAAGGAAGTATTATTTACCTCTTCACATAAACACAAGCCCCAGGGGTCACCCAATTAAATTAATAGGCATCAGGTTTAAAACAAATATAAGGAAGTACTTCTTCAAATAACGTACAGTCAATCTGTGGCACTCGTTGCCAGGGGATGTTGTGGAGGCCAAAAGAATAACGGGGTTAAAAAAAGAACTAGATAAGTTCATGGAGGATGGGTCCATCAGTGGCTATTAGCCAAGAAGGTCTGGGATGCAAAACCATGACCCGGGTGTCCCTAAACCTCTGACTGCCAGAAGCAGGGAGTGGATGATGGGATGGATCACTTGATGATCGTCTGTTCTGTTCATTCCCTCTGGGGCACCTGGCATTGGCCCCTGTTGGCAGACAGGAGACTGGGCTAGATGGACCATTGGTCTGACCCAGTACGGCCGTTCCGATATCTAACAAGGCAGCATTGAGAGGAATGTAAGGTTCTGTGTGGGGCTGGTGAGGGGGATTTCTACTCTGATTCCCCCTCTTTGCCTTTCTTAGGGGTTGCATTAGGCGGTTGATCTAAACTGGACACTGCCCTCGTAAGCATGTATTCAAAGGATCTGAACTGGTTCTTTTTTTGCTTTTCCTCCCCCAGTGGGTCCTGTTCTCAATCGGAGAGTTATCCCTCCTTCCAGAAGGATGCTGATTGGCTCCCGTGCTTGCAAAATCTGTATCTGTGCTTCCTCCTCCCAGTGCTCCCCGGAGAACCAGCATCCGCAGACTCTGCAAGGTGGTAAGGAGAGACTCCTGTGCCTGCCCCCGGGTTTGCCTTTCCAGGGGGCTAAAGCCTTTTTAGGGGCATTTTGCTATTTGGGCTAAGACTTTGGGAAGAGAAAACCCAATGACCTTGGGGACTGGTCCCTGCGCCCCCTTCCCATTGTGTCTCTCTCTCGTGTGCCCCGTGGATGCTCACCATCAGGGAGCTCTGCTGAAGGGCGTTAACTCACCTCCTCCTGTTTCTCCAGCCATACGCTCCTGACATGAGCATGTGGGCTAAGCAGGTCCTGCGTCACTGCTGGATTTGCCCTGTGTTTTCCTTTTCATCACAGACACGAGACTACAAATCTTCCGGCCTTCCCCTGGCTCCCCCAACGCAGGCGACGTTGTCAATGTGGCAATAGCATGACAAAAAGGAAGAGACACCCATAGCATGTTCGTGTCAGACAAACGCCTGATTCCTAGAGAGAGACAGGGACGGCACAGCTCTTCCTACCGTCCAGGTTTCTATTAAGCTAGGCCGCCGGCTCTTCCACCATAGAAAGGAACCGAGGCGGAGGTGCTTTGGGTTTCACAGTGCCCATCGGCAGGCAGCCACAAACACACTCTTAGCAGCAGCCTCATGCTGCTTGTTAGCATTTCAAAGTGCTGGCCAAATGTTAATTA